AAACAGTTCTGAGCTTACTACCTACCCCTGGACAGATTGTCAGTGTGTACCTGTTTGCTTGGAGGGTAGCCTTGTTTGAGACTAGAATAATGCATGGCTTCCGGCACTGAATGAGAGTCTGGTGCTGTTGTCCCATGCTTTCTTAGTAGAGTGTTGTCTTTATCCCCGTCACATCTCTGGGAAGGACTGTGGCTGTACAGTTCTGGTGCTGCTGTTTAGTGCCGTTTCTGTTGTTAAAGACTGTCAGGGTGCAGAGTGAAGAACCTTTGTCTGACTTTTGTTTCTTAACGGTTCCTTAAAACACGCTAATGTAAGTTTTCTGGGTTGGTGGTTTGTACTACCAGCATTGAACATTTCTAGCAAAAGTTTAAAGCCAATAATTTAGTATTTATAATATTTTAAGTGTATAACTGAATTGTAATATACTTATCTTAGAAATCCCAGGTAAATAATTTTGTGTGAATTAATCTGAGTAGACATTGTGAATTCTTTTTTTTCTCCCAAATACTTTATATATGCCATGGTATGCACGTAGAGGTGAAGGGAAAATGTCAGTACTCAGTGTTGTTATTCCTCTGTGGCTTCCATGGGTCAAATTTGGGTCTTCAGGCTTCGGGGGCAGGTGTGAGTGCCTTTTCCCAGTGATCCAAGCCCCTGGCCTGACATAAATTCTACCTCAGACCTTGGTCAGTTTGTGTATGGAACTTCTCAACTTTCTCCTTTACCTCCTTGCAGACTAGGGATAACAATAGTCCTTGCCTCGTGGAATTGTGAAGCCCTAATGAGAAATTCACAAACTGCAGAGCACAGTGCCCAGCATCAGTGCCCAGGAAATGGTGGACAGCACCAGCTTTCCTCAGACATACTCAACCTGACTTCATCCCGTCTCCTAAACCTTCTTTCCTCTCCCAACATCTAAGGAAGCTTTCGGGATTATCGAAGATGTCCATATACACGAGGCTGAAGTTATTATTTTTGATCTAGTTCTAATGTCTGTAGTTACAGAATTTGCCTATTCTGGCATTTGTATGGCTTAAATGTGAGCTATTCTCTGTAGCTTATGCATTGGGTCCCCAGACGCTGTTGCTGCTTGTGAAGTTGTAGGACCTGTGGGAGCAGAGGGTGTTGATTCATTCTGGCCCTCCTCCCCGCCCTCTCTCCTGCCACCCAGATCCACATAGATGGGAACATGCTTGTGGGGAGTGGAGGAAGCCCTGAGTGAATCTGTATTGTTGACATGAACACAGACATGTCAAGGATCCCAATGCCTCAGACTCAAGGAAAAGCAAAGCCGTCTTCTTCAGGTGAGCTCAGAGGAACGGCAGAGCCTTTTTACAGATGTATTTACAGATGCTTGGCTAGTGTGTGCAGGAAAACAAAAAACAAAAGGCTAGCACACAGCTTCCTCCTCCCCTAGAGACTACCCGAGTTTCCAGATTACGTAGTGGGGCCGCCATCAGAGAGCACAGCCCACCTGGGTTGCCCAGCTAGTCTGTGTTTGTCTTCTTCATCCCCAAAGTGCCACAGTCATGTTCCCAGGACCAAAGTCATGACATGGCACATGCTCGCTCAGTCATATCTGGTGTGACTTCTCCACGATGGACTTCTAAGCCATAAGCCAAAATAAATCTTTCCTTCCTTAGTTAAGCCAGGTCTTTTAACACCAAAATAAATCTTTCCTTCCTTAGTTAAGCCAGGTCTTTTAACACAGCAATGAGTAAGCCATAGTTAACTACCTTTTGCTTTTGACCCATTTAATGAGCTTTCTCATCAGGAGCCAAGTAACTTCACAAAAATTGTGTATTACAAATAGACTTCAGTCTTTCAAGTGAGACAAATCCTCATTTTAAATGCTGTTTACTGGGACTTAGGGATGCAGCTCAGTAGTCGAGCTCTCATGGAAGGTCCTGGGGTTTGAACTCCAGTACTGTTTGGAGACAGGGTCTCATTATGTAGCCTTGCATGGTACTGATTATGTAGACTAGGCTGGCCTCAAATTCCTAGAGCTCCTTGTGTACTGGGAGAGACTAAAGTTGTGCACCACCACACTTTGCTTCCCTGTTTGTATCCAGCTTTGGGTTGTATCTCAGTTATTTATCCCACTTGGACGTGCTGGAACATAATATGGAGGATATAAGCAGTAAAAAGGATCCTTAGCATTGGGCAGTGATTAACATTTATCAGTTTTTATAATAATGAACTATTCAGTGTTACAAGAAGTCAGAGTATGGCCGCCTTTCTTACAACTTGCACTTCAGATAAATGATGCTCCCAATGTAGTCTGGACAGCACACTTGGAGAAAGGCCAGGTCTCTCGGCACACAAGTCTACACTGTCTACAGCTTCAGCTTTGAGAGGTACTTGTCCCAGATTTGCAGTCTGTAGGGAAAGACTTGTCTCCTCTCTGCTACTTCTAAGACCACACTGTAAAGAAAACATTGAGGAAGCACGCTAACCCTGTTCTCCACAGCTAGAGCCTGGCTATCCAGAATCCTAAGTAGGGTTCACTCACGGTCCCGGTAAGTGGTACTTTGTTAGGCTTTCGTGCACAGTCTCCAGAGACCTGGTGACTCTTACAGGCTCAGAGCTGCCATGCTTGCCAACCTTACTCAAGTTGTTCTCTTTTCTGCCAGGGCATTTGGTTTATCCACTCTAAAAACACGCCAGTGTGTCCTTTTACTGCCATTAATCGAAGTTGGGGATTACCGAAAGCTTTTCATGTTCTGCTTTCATGTACTTCCTTTTCTGTCTAGGCAGCATAATTCGCTGTATGAGGCGCCTGGAAGAACTGCTTCGACAGATGTGTCAAGCAGCAAAAGCCATTGGAAACACAGAGCTGGAGAACAAATTTGCTGAAGGTCAGTATTTAGTTTATAAGCCTTTTCTGATCATTTAGGCAAATCTTGAGACTTTGACACAGCTTAGAAGGAAATTTTGAGGTGTCTTGGCCAGACTGTCATGGAAGGTCAACTAACAGTATGTACATAAAATTGGAAGGTTTATGTGGGACATTTTTGGGATTTTTGTTTTATACACAGATTCCCATTTACATATTTATTAAATACTAGGTGTCCAGCATTGTTTTAAGAAGTGTGAAGAGTGGACATAAAGGTGCAGTTAATGGGGCTTATCTTATAATGTGAGGGAGATGAATAAGTCAGCAAGAAGGAAGTAGAAAGACAGCAGCCTAAAGACCTCCACAGGGATGACATTGAAGGCCTTTTCTGCAGACTCAGGATGTTTGAGCAGCAGTGGGAGGCTGGTGTGCTTGGAGCAGGAGTACAGTAGGGATTGTCGGGGATGGAAATGGCCAAGTTTGTCGAGTAGCAAGGAGGATATAGGGAGACCAGGTTAGGAAGGATGGCTAGACTGTCAACTGGGGGGTGGGGAGTTGGGAAGCATGCTATTCGTAAATAGCTTGTCATCTCCACATCTCTGCCTGGGTCTCGGCCAAGACAAAGCTGGCTATAAATCAGTTCGTGCTAGTGATTTCTACTTACTGATGTACCACACTGAGTAGACTGTGTATACCTGTCCTGCTTTAGTCTAAAGTTTCCCATGTCTTCTGGTATAAAGACAACTGCTGGACCTGGATTCGTCTCCTTCTGACATCTTTAGAGCCACTCATGCACACCACATGTAGTAGTGGCAGTAGTGTAGCTGATGGTCAAAAGAGCAAGGACTGTCCCCAAGGTTCTCCAGTGACTCTCAAGTCTCTTAAGCTAACAGCTTTTTATAGTCCACGTTGTTCCCTTACCAATTTAGTCAGGACTGAGCTGTAAAATCCTAGTACCAGGAAGTTATGCTTTATGGTCTTGAAAGCTTAAGCATTATTTTCTTTTTCCCTTAGGAATCACCAAAATCAAGAGGGATATTGTATTCGCTGCCAGCCTCTACTTATAGAGTTCAACATTAATCACCATCTGTCTGATTACAGTTGACTGTAACTGCTTACAAGTGTCCAAGTGATTCTTCCATCAAGAGTTGTTTGAAGCATTTTATTATATTTAAATCAGATATCATTCTAAGAAGGCATGTAACATACACATTTGTACATAGCATCTTTCAATTAAAAAATGTACAAGTGGGGCAGTGTTTTTAGGGGAAGGCTTGAATATTTTTTTTTAAATTGGGCTATTAGATACTCGTTGTGTTATATACACAGGTAAAGTAGGTAATCCAAGAGGTATAGCAGCAGTCCTTCAATGGCCTATACACCGGAAAATAATATGCATCCTCCCGCCTTCTTCTAGCGGTTTCCTTCAGAAAGCTGACCAGTTCCTCCATACCCTTCAAGGCTGGTGATTGCTTGAGTACGCATTTGAGGTGGTGGTTTCATGGAGAGTCGTATGTGAGTCGTCCTCTTTCCTTTCTGCATAAGAATGTCTCTCCTTGAAGAAATCGGATACATACACAGCCTGTATAGAACAGGGCAGAATTTACATAAATTTAAAAATCATATACACAATTTCAGGTAGCAATTAGGAACATAAAATAATAGTTGGCTAGACTGGTGTAGTAGTGTATGCCTTTAAACCCAACATAGGAGAAGCAGGTGGCTCTCTGGAATTCCAGACCAGCCAGGGCTACATAGTCTCAAAAAGAAAAAAAAAAAGCAAGTATGTCTTCAGTAAATAGCTTCATTCAGCTAACACTTAAAAAAACTCAATATAGACTTTAGCAATGAAAACACTAAGAATTTACAACATTCACAAAGAAGTAACCTAATTTTTACCTATCTGACCTATCCTGCAAAAGATTTTATTAACATTGAGATTCTTTACCATGCCTTTGATGCCACTTGGGAGGTAGAGGCAGGCGGCTCTCTGTGAGTTCACCACCAGCCTGGTCTATAGAGTGAGTTCCAGGATAGTCAAGGCTACACAGAGAAACCCTGTCTTGAAAAAAACAAACAAAACAAGCAAAAACGGGATTCTTGGAGTTATTGGGCCCCATTTTCTACCCTGTCAGGTTTCTCACTGGGGATTTTTCAAATGTCAGCAGTGTGAATACTTACAACTAATACTGCGACCACAGCTCCTTGGATGAGGCCAACCATCACGTCACTCCAGTGGTGTTTGTAGTCAGAAACTCGAGAAAGGCCCACATATATGGATAAAGCAACAAGACCAAACTGCAGGGTGGGGCGTAAGAGTCTCGCCCAGTCTCCCCTCATCCTGGCTTGAAGATAAAGCTGATAGAAAGGGGAGGGGCGGGGAGAACAGTTCATTCATCAAGTAAGCTGAAAACTTGAGTACCACTTTACCTCAAAAGTGTTGGAATTTAGATCATCAAAATATTAACGTATGAAATAGAACTTTAGTTACTACTTTAAAGGACATCCCGCCACAAATACGGCCCCAGAGCTTGTCCTTAGAAGACTTTTTTCCCTATTTAGCTATCTCCTGCCCTTGGAAGTGTGAAGCAGGGCTTCCCTGTGACTGTAGACAGGATTTCACGGCAGTCCTTCCTCCCTGTAGCCTGAGCTACAATTCTGGTAGTGTACAGGGTTGCCATCTGTCCCTAGGCTTGGGGTCCACTGTTAGAATTCAGGCAAGAGTTGGCCCTTGCTCTGGGCCAGACTTCTGGTTCCTGCCCAGCACATCTAAGGACTGTTTGCTTGGCTTACCAGTTTACCCAAGAGTTCTGCTATCCTCAAACAACAGCAGCTGCAGCTAAATGAATGATCTACCTAAGTAAATAGAATACCCCGCCCAGATAAGCAGTGTGGGTTACGATGCAGTCGGGATCAGCAAAGCAATGTGCTCTTCCCCTAACCTGTTACCTTCCTAGACTTGAGGACATTCCCCATGATTCTGACACTTAATACCTGAAATTTTTGATATAGAAGGAAATCTTCAGTGGAAATCTTATTTTAAAAGCAAAACCAAAAAAAAAAAAAACAACACAAAATAACAACAAAAATGATACTTCTTCTAGTTACTTAGTTATAGGTGGTAATAATAGTGTATCCTTGTAATCCTTGCACTTAAGGAGGATGGAAAGTTCCAGGCCATCTAGGATACAAGACCCTGTGTCATGACACCATTACCCCTCCTCACACGCCTAAAAGAAAAAAGGTAATTTTCAACATTTTAAAAAAAAACCTGCAGGCGCTGGGTGGTGCACGCCTTTAATCCCAATACTGGGGAAGCAGAGATAGCCCAATCTCTGTGAGTTTGAGGACAGCTTGCTCCACAGAGAGAGTTCCAGGACAGCCAAGGCTACACAGAGAGACCCTTGTCTTGAGAAACCAAAAAATAAAAATCTGCTGTCTAAGAGGGTGTGCTGGCTAGTTTATAACAACGCAAGCTGGAGTCAGGCACTGGAGGAGGAGGAAACCTCAACTGGGACAACACCTCCATAAGATCAGGCTGTAGGCAGGCCTATAGTGCATTTTCCTAATTAGTGATTGACGGGGAAGGCCTAGACTATTGTGGGTGGTGCCATCCCTGGGCTGCTGGTCCTGGATTCTGTATGAAAGTAGGCAGGGCATGCCAGTAAACAGCACCCCTCAATGACCTCTGCATCAGCTCCTGCCTCCAGGTTCCTGCCCTGTTTGAGTGCCTGTCCTGATGTCTTTTGATGAACTGTGATGTCGAAGTTAAATAAACCCTTTCTTTCTCAAGTTGCTGTGGCAATGGCGTTTCAACACGGCAATAGTAACCCTAAGACAGTTTGCACACCACTTGCTTTGGAAGCCTTGAGGCCACAGTTGGGTCCCCTAGCTCCCACATAGAAAAGCCATGAACAGTGGTTTGCATTTGTAATCCCAGAGCTGGCCTTGCAGTGACAGCAGAGGAAGGTCCTAGTCAGCCAGTCTACCTTACTGATGGCCGCCTGGCTCAAAGGATGGGACAGCATTCTTGAAGATGAGACCTGAGGTTGTCCTCCCCAGCGTCCACATGTACACAGGCACTTAGAGAATGAGAATCTGTTCAGTGACTTCCCAGCCATCCACATGGTCCAGCAAGTGCAGGTGTGAACAGTTACAAAATGCCATACCGTTGTCTGAGTGCTGCTGGCTCTACAGAGCCTGCTCCCCTTGTTTAAGTCTCGTCTTAAACATCATTACTTCCACCTTAAGTACAAAGTTCATTTTAAAGAGAAAGCTTCTAGACTACAGCTGAAGCCAAGTTCTGGGTAGTGTACAAACAGCCAGCTGTCAGCAGCAGGGTGTCCTTTTCAGACAATAAAAACATCTAAGAAATACAAACACTTGCAAATGAAGGAAGGATTTTATCCATCTGCTGGGAGGGCGGGCATACAACACCTCTGAATGAAATGAGGAAGATCCTTTTTTGTATATCTTGACATGAGGGAGACCTAGGAGATGGGACTGGAAAGAACATTCCCTGCTCCAAAATCCCTCTTAATATATTCCTTCCTTGCAGAGAAGCCTGCAGGCACACGAAGTTATTTTTGCAGAATCTGATTCCCCAGCTACCAAGGGAAAGAACGTTCACTATGGGTCAGTGTCAAGGAAGTGTTCCAGCATACACTGGAACATTCTCCTCCAGGTCCACCTACACCGGTGTTCCCACTGGCAAAACACTGACTAGACCCGGAAATCCCTCACGGGGCTCCTCTACATCAGTGACTTTAACAGCAACAGTAATGATGATAAAAAGGAACACCAGAGCCTGGTGCTCCGTCATCCCTGTTATCACAGGAACACTCTAGAACTCCACTGAGATGTGCATTTCCAGGAGATGGTTCAGAATGGAGAAGGCCAAACAAAAACCCACTTTACCACACTAGACATTCCTCTGTCCCTGACTTCGTCTACACATAAACCACAGAAGGCTGTGGTGATAATGGGTGCCAGCCAAGCGGCAGGTTTCCCAAGGAAACCGCCGTGAGGCATCTCTTTCCTTCCCCATCACATCACTCCAGTTCAGTGGTTCCCAACCTAATGCTGTGGTGACCCTTTAAGACAGCTCCTCAGGTTGTGGTGACCCCACCCAACCATACAATTATTCTCGTTGCTGCTTCATAACTGTGCTACTGTCACGAACTGTAACGTAAATGCATTTTCTGATGGTCTTAGGTGACCAACCCGTGAACCCCTCATTCGATGCCCACAGGTTGAGAACTGCTGCTCTACTAAGTGAAACCACCTCTCCAGTGACTTAGGGCAAGATCCCAGCAAGCCAGCCAAGTTTTAGAGACCAGGAGGAAAAGAAGGGGCCTTAGGGATCAACCAAAATCCTCTAGGAACACCTCAGGGCCAGTGGCCCTTGTGAAAATTCTCCAGGTGTGGGTTTGTGTCCAAGATGGCAGCTCTGGGCCTATCAAGCCACTCTTGAGGTAGGATTCTAGAAAATCCTGGTGAACCTCCCTGCTCCCTGCACGGTCAAGGGTCTGTCAAGTTGGAAAGGAGGGAGACCAGCTCTGCAGACATCTGAAGAAATACGGCCTTCTCATCTGTAACATCACAGATTATCCAGGCAGCTGCTTACTCCATGGGAGAGCCCTGACCAGTGGTTATGCCCACAAAAGATGGTGGAAGAAGCTGGCCAATCCACCTACAGGCCAAAGTGCAGAGGTTGGCCGGTCGGTGGTGGCACAGGCCTTTAATCCCAGCACTTGGGAGGCAGAGGCAGGCTGATCTCTGTGAGTTCAAGGCCAGCCCGGGCTACAGAGTGAGTTCCAGGAAAGGTGCAAAGCTACACAGAGAAACCCTGTCTCAAAAAAAACAAAACAAAAAAAAGTGCAGAGGCCTTCCAAATTCATGCTAACACTGGAGCTTCCGGCTTTTTAAACACTGGAGACAATTTGGGTATTTTCCCCATGCCTGTATTACCACGGAATATGCCCTCAGATCCTACCACCCTATCACTAAGAGGTGACAAGGCCTTTGGCAGGCTAATTGGGTCATGGAGGCAAAGCCTTCATAAAGGGGACAGTGCTGTTGGATGGGCCCCAAGAGCTCCAGATCACTTGCGTCGTGTAAGGCTACAGCAGAGGTCAGCAGTGTGCGGCCAGGAGGGTCCTCGCCAGAACCTGACTATGCTGCCCCTGCTTCCAGACAACTGGAGAACGCACTGCAGTTCGGGAGCTCTCTGATCTGTGGTCATCGATTACAGCACCCCAACCACCTGTCCTGAGGGAGGGTAGAGCCAGTCTGGGGAAACGATCTCAGAAACTGGATTTTGTTTCTTTCTTTCTTTCTTTTTTTTTTTTTTTTTTTGGTTTTTCTGAGACAAGGTTTCTCTTTGTAGCTTTGCGCCTTTCCTGGAACTCATTTGGTAGCCCAGGCTGGCCTTGAACTCACAGAGATGCGCCTGCCTCTGCCTCCCGAGTGCTGGGATTAAAGGCGTGCGCCACCACCGCCCGGCCAGAAACTGTATTTTGTTTCCATTACGATACAATAATCTCACCTGAAATAGGCTTGAGCAAAACACTTTTGTAGCTCGTTTATTTCTGTTTTGCCCAATGGCTGGCCTTGTTAATATTGTTGCTGTCTCAGGTCCCCCCACTTCCCACTGTAAACTGGAGTCAAGGGGTCAGTTATTTGGGGTACTTGACTAATATGTGTATGTAGTGGGGGCTGAGTTTGATCCCTAACACCATAAAAGGGAGAGTTATTTTTAGAGTGGAAAAATAAAAATTTTTAAAGTTTGAATATTTGTTTGTCCTTTTACTAAAATCCCCTAGCCCTGAACAACACTAACGACATACTCAACACAAACACTCGCCCCACAAGCTAAGTTGATGGTCCACCTACAATAGAGACTGAGTCTGCCCAGTAAAACAGGCATTGGTTGAGGCTTCTCTGAGCATCTCCACCGTTCATGGAGATCCTAATTCACATTCGTCTTTGAGCCATGAAGTCATCACCTGCTCAGTGTTCCTCCACAGCTGGAAAACATCTGCCAGAAACAATGCTAAGTGGTCCAAGGTCGGTGCTCCATGCCCACAAGTCTCAAGGAAGGAGTGGTGTGAAGGAATACAGGTTGAAGTAGGCAGGGGTCTACACCCCAGTGGTGAGGATGCTAGGAAAGAAGGTGGGACTGCTTTTGTGAAAGAGACGTTAGGGGCCATGACGTAATAAACCTCGGTAGGATGGCTCCACGAAAAACCTGACACATTTCTCACTGTCCTCTCTCATGGCTACTCTGACAGCCACAAAATCTGTGATTTTTGGCAGTCAGCCGGATTCAAGGGGAGTCACAGCAAGTGCAAAGCGGCCCTGCCCAGAGCCCCTCCAGCTCTGGCACTGGGGCTCCTTCCCGGCACTGAGCTCAGGGCTGGGCTGCCTGCCAGGCCACAACAGTCAAAGGACGGGCTTTCGGAGAAATTTTGTAATTGAGTTTGTAATTTTACTTTGTAAGTGTCAGGCATCTTCAGACTTTAAATGGCTATCTCCACCCAAACCTGGGACTGACCTATAATGCCAAGATGCCCAGGGAAACAAGGTGAGTCACTGCCTCAGGAATGTGGGAGAGGGGAGGTTGTGCTGTGTATAAATAGGAAAGCCGGGAGACACTGTTTGTTCAGGGATGAAGTCAAAGCTAAGCCTACATGCCAGTCAAGTCCATGTCTCCTGTGTCGGGCCAGTTACACAGCATGTGGCTGCCGTCCTCCAGAATCGCCTTGGTTATAACACACCCGGCTAGGCTTTTTCTCTTTGTAAGTTTGTATGCTAGGTGCACACTGTGAGCTCAAGAATCTGGGGACACTTAAGAATATGGGTAGGTGCCACACTGAGGCCAGAAGTCTGTGTTGGGCGCTTCCTCTATTGTTTTCCAGTTGTGTCCGGTGTATGAGTTTTGCTTGAGTGTACATCCGCATGCCTGGTGCCCTTGGAGGCCCGAAGGCAGTGTTGTGTCTCTTGGGACTGGAGCTGCAGACAGTTCTGAGCCACCACGTAGGTGCTGGGAATTAAACCCTGGTCCTCTGGAAGAACAGGCAGTAACCACTGAGCCATATTTCCAGCCTGACTTTTTGAGTCAGGGTTCTCACTGCACCTGGAGCTCTGGCCAGTGATCTCCAGGAGGCCTCCTGTCTGCCTTCCTGGTGCTGCTGTTACAGGCAAGGGCCAGCACACGCAGCGTTTTCCATGGGTGCTGTGACTGGAAAACTGAGGGGGTCATCCCTGCAGGCAGGCCCTTCACTAATGGAGCCACCTTTCCCAGGCCTCTGTCAAGTCACACTGACCCGGTACGACTTCATGGTGTCCACAGCAAAGGCTCCCACATGCCCACAGGGCAAGCTGAGCCTCCCTCCATCTGTGTGACTTCCAAGCTTTCAAGTAGTCAAAAAAGCAAGTGCCCTTGATCGGCAAGAGATTCTGCAAAGCTCACAGACCACAGCCCCTTCCAAGGCCTCTACTCTTCCCCCTAGAGTAGCAGTCACTCCACGTTTTTCTACATGGAAATTACAAGAGAGAGTTTTGTTTTAAGTGTAAAATATAAATCACTGACAGCAACCAAAACAGAATCCTGCGTCTCTTTCAAGGTCAGAGACACTGACACTCAGGCAGTGAAAACAAATCACAGACCCAAGCAGGTCTGGCTGAACACTTCCAAAGCCAATCACTGTGCCCACAACCTTGTGCTTTGGACCAAGTCCTACGTGTGGGTACACCTGGCTCTGAGCAGCCCAGCTTTCCTTCATATCCTAGTTAGAAAACAAAACATGTTTGGTTCCTTTGGAACAAGAGCTAATTCTCCCTAACAAGATAAACAGAGACTGTTAGAGCGCTGTTTGCTGTTAACTACCCTGAAATGAGTCACACCTCTAGGCACAGCCACAGAAAGACTTGAATGTGAGCCTTCAAAGAAGGCTCGGATTCTGCTGAGTCGTAAGAGGAAAGCCTTGTGAATTTTCTGAATGTTGCATCCAAAAATCACCCAGTAATGGCTTGAAGTTGTGAACTTGAGTGTTATATAACATCTGCAAATTTTTTTTACAGGTTTTTCAAATAAAAAATGTAAAGTTGATTATAAATTCTGTTACCAAATTAACTCAACATTCGTTCACATCAGATTGAATTCCATAGATAAAGCCCAGAACTCAGTCTTCCCAA